GTGCAGGTGCTAGAGCTGGTGCTGGTGCTGGTATTGGTACTGGCAGTGTTAGCACTGGTGGCGGTGGTGCTGGTGGTGCTGGTGGTAGTGCCCAGTCGCAACGGATCATGGAGAAGATCCAGAAGTTTTTCTGGAGACTGAGAATGACACGGAGAAGGTCTGTGCCTCTTAGTTTCTGTTCTCGAGGGCATATAGGGTGCTTAAAAGCCTGGCAAAATCAGCACATTTCCTGATGACGGCAGCTCAACCCACAGGCAGATTTGGCCTCCCTGCACATAGCCCATCCTGTGCATATATACCTTCCAGAATAATGGGACACCCATTCTAGACATTTCTTCCCCTCCGGTCACCCCCTCCATCTCCTGCCTCCATTGGCCAGTATCAACTGGAAGCAGGAAGAAAGGCTGCCTGGGGCTACTGTGGGCTGTCAGCACCCCTGGGAGTAAAGCGCGCTGTGTCTTTCACAGCAGTCTTGCTTTGAGGAAGACCTTGTCGATATACCATAGCATACAGGAAAACAACATTTAAGTATGTACTAGCAAGTGTGTGCTACTCTCTCCCAGTTTGCTGTCAGTCTGGAACGGGTGGCCAAGAAAGGGCCGTGAGGAGTGCGACAGGCAGTGTGCGCAACTGAACGTGCCTTCTGTCTTTTCTAGGCGCAGTGCTCACGTGCACCCCAGGGACTGCACAGAGCAGGAAAGCCAGGGAGAAGGCCCTTTGGAATATGAAGTCGAGCAGGTGACAGTCTTCTTCTGGTTTTATAAAATGCTTGCCATGGCATCCTCTTTTGAGCCGATTTCCTTAAACGTTGACAATTTGTATTCTTTAACTTTGAACAGGCAGAGGGCAGCACAGATAGAGTTGCAGCGGCAAAATCTGCCCCACTCAATCCCTCCAACATAGATGGAGTGGCAGCAGCAACTTCTGCCCCATTCATTCTCTCCAACAAAGATGGAGTAGAAGTGGAAATTTCTGCCCTGCTCAGTCTCACTGAGACTTCTGAAAGTCACTCAAGCTCAGCAGATGATAAAAAGCAGCGATTTAAGACACAACTTGAGCCCTCCTGCATGGAAAACATCTCTGGGAACATCCCTGAGTTGCAAAAAAGCAACAAGACCTTAAGTCAGCAGCAGAAGAAATCCAATAGGAGAGCTCACAGGCAAAAGAGATCACTGGAGCAATGGGAAGAAATGCTCAAGAAAGAGGCATTGCTTTTAGAAGCAACAGAAAGAGCGCTTTTCCAGGCCCAGAGGCAGGCAAAGGAATGTTGTGCTTCATGCCTTGCAAAAGGTGAACCAAGAAAAGAAACTGTAGAGTGGGAAGTTCTGCAGGAACAAGTGGCCCGGCTCCAGCATGAAAACCTTTCACTGCATCAGCAGCTGGAAGATGTGCGGAACACCAACCAGGTAAGAGCAGTGTGATGTCTGTAAACATGAAACAAAGTACAAGAAAAAGGTCAGGTGGACACTGAAGTAGAGCAGCTCCCAAAGGCATCTGGCGCTTCTAGAATTTACCAGCTATGAGCTACCTGCCTGGAAGGCCATTCCTCGAGTTGCCTCTGTTTTGTTCCCTTTCTGCTGCCATTTGCAAGTGGCAAATCCCAGCTCTGCACCCCAGTGAGTGTTGGGCAATTCTCCTCTACCACTTTTCTTCCCTTTGTGGTTCACTCAAGGATAGGATCTAAGTATAGGAACTGGTAAGCAGAAGTAAAAATGCAGGCTTTAGTTTTTTACCTTTTGTTTCACACATTTCTCTAGAGAATAGTTGGACGGCTGCAACAAGAGCTTGCTGAGGCTGTTGGAAAGCAGCAGATTGCAGAAGCATTCCTGAAAACTTCTGCGGACTTAAGTGACTCACTGAAGAAAGAAAACTTGAAATTGCAAGAGGATCTGGATGAGGCTAATGCCAAGGTATGCAACATCTGTGAACACGCCTTGATAGGGGCGAAGCTGTTCATTTCCTCCAACAAGTGAAAGAGAAGAAATAAGATGAGAACAAACGTAAGACACTGTTGTTTTTCCACTGCGTACAGGTGCGTGACCTTTATGCACAGCTGGAGTTGGAGCACTCAAAGTTGCTGCTGCAAAAAAGGGCACATGAGGAGCTGCGAGTAAAGGAGGCTGTTCTCCAGCAGCGCCTGGAGGCTGCGGAAGCAGATTATAAAATATCAGCACAGTTTGAAAAGAGGCGAGAAGAAAAAATGCGGAAGAAACTTGCCAACAGTTTCAGAAAGCAGTCGGCTTCAGAAACATCTCTGAAGCATTCTGAAGATTACTGCCGTTACCTGGAGAACGACATCTTGATGCTGAACGAAGGCTTGGACAAGGCTAATGTCAGGGTATGCAATGCCTGTGAGCACAGGTTAAGCTGTTCTTTTCTCCTAAATAGTGCAAGGGAAGAAATAATCTGAAAACAAGTGCAGGACGTGTTTATCTGACAGCAGTAAAAGACACATCATTGTTAGCAATGGTTTTCCTGATCAGAGCATGATCTGATCTGAAACATCAACAAAGCCACCTGCTTTCAGCCACAAGTAAGAGGCAATCCCTTGCTGCAAAGGGGCAGTGGAAGCTCTTACTCGGTCCTCAGAGTACATTACTCTCCTTGCCTCCTCCCCTGTCACTTCACAGAACACAAGCAGCTTCTCGGGGAGCTCATTTTCAGGCTGAGGGGCAAAGCAGTGGCTTGGGAGCAGCATCCAGGGAAGGAAGAGTGCAGCAGCTTGTCCTCCTTTGAGACTCGCTGCTGTTCTGATGCCTTTCCTGTTGTAGTGGCAGTACTGTGACACCACAAGGCATGCCCTCACAAAGCGTCTCTGAGTTCAGCAGCTCTGTTTGCAAGTTCTCAACAGCAAAATGAGATCTTTGTTCCCTGTTAGTAGCGTTGGTGACAAACAAAAGTACTCTCTCGCATTTTCCCTCCACGCTGAGAGGACATTAGCAGAGGTGAGTGCAAATGAAAAGGAAAGGAGCCAGCCTGGTTTGCGGTGAAAGCACCGGCAGAGAACAGGACCGCTCTTCTTGTCCACTTCCCACTGGTGCTGCCGTAATTCAGGATGAAAATGTCAGCACCTGCTGCTTTCCTCCCCTATAAACAATTTCAGCTCAGGAGATGGGTGTTGTGCAAACCACTTGCACTGACTGCTGCTGGGACGCATCCCGTTCTCTACCTCTCCAACTAGCTGTCTCCAGGGAGGTCTGTGGCGGGAGCATTACTTCACAGGCATGGGAGTTGCATAATTCCGTTGGAGTCAAGTGCCTTTCCTTTGGAGCCGTTCTGGAAAGAAGGGTCAAGACTGCATCAGTCTTCTCAGCAAAGATTAGAAAGTCGTGCTTGCTTTAGAAAAAACGCACCTCTTTTCCTTGGCAAAAGTTACAGCCTTAGTGCATTACACTAGGGGCTCCATCAACACACACATGTGAATGAGTTCCCCAGGATGTGGGGATTTTAGAGCACTCTGATTAAGGGAGATTGTTTTTTTCCACTGCATGCAGGTGTTCGAACTTTCCGTACAGCTGGAGATGGAACGGCAGAACTCGCTGCAGCTAGAAATGACAAATCGGGCGCTGCAGGACCTGGTTCACCAATATCGCCCACAGGCCACTGCAGCGGGCTGTAGCCCATTCTCACAGGGTGGAAGGTGGCACAAAGAAAGTGCTCCTAAAGAAATGGGGCCGAAGCAAGAGCCCAGCCTCTTTTCTCCGGTAAACTGATGTGCCATTCCTATCTGTATCCACACTGCGTTGAGTTGTCGCTGCGCTCATTGCTTTTGGGAGTTTTCTGTTACACGTTTAGTTCTTACACTTAGTTCTGTTAGTGCAGAGCCTCTGGCTTCCTTGTAAGGAAGCTGGAGAGCTGAAGAGAGATGCGTGAAAGTGTCTCTGTGTGTGTCGTGTGATCTTGGTGCATAAGAAATAGGCAGCCTTTTCCTCATCCCCTTCCTTATAGAGTTGGAGGTGGCTCAATATCAGCTTTCATGTAAAAACAGCAGAAGAGCAGGTATGTTTCTTTCTGAGGTAAAAATAACGGAAAGACATTTAGTCAGTTCTGACTTCTTCCCTGAGTGTTGATGGTAGGGATGAAGCACAGCTCCTTCACTGAGCAGGGCTATCTTGTTTCCATTGGGTATGGGAACTGGCTGCAAGGACACATGGATGTGGCACTGTCTGCCTCTTCCTGTTCCTTCAAGTTGCACTGTCTTCTTCCGATGCAGGCAGCTTCTCAAAGCAAGCTAGAGGAGATCAATGCCAAAGAAGCAATGTTTAGAAAGGAACAGAGGCAGAGAATTGCAGCTCTAACATCAGAAATGGAGAGAGCCCAAAGCATGCATCAGGAGAGCTTGCGGCAAATAGCACACTGGCAAGCAGAGCTAGACTTGTCAGAAAAACTGTTCCGGGTGGGTGAGGACATTAGAAGAAGCCTTGCAAATAAATAAGACAAGTAAGTGAAAACATTTTCTTCCTTTTCTTGGTGGTGGTGGTTGTTGTCAGTTGTTTGGTTGGTTAATTTTCCAATAATACATTATTATTTGCAATAACACGTTATTCCTCCTCTTGTCATGGCTGTTCTACCCAACATCCGTGGCAAAATCAGCACATGTCCTGATGATGGAAGCCCACAGGTGAATTTGGCCTCCCTGCACATAGCCCATCCTGCCCATATATACCTCCCAGAATAACTGGACACCTGTTCTAGATGTCATTTCTTCCCCTCTGGTCATCCCCATTATCCCCTGCCTCCATTGGCCAGTAGTAGCTGGAAGCAGGAAGAAAGGCTGCCTGGAGCTACTGTGGGCTGTCAGCATCTCTGGGAATAAAGTTCGCTATGTCTTTCATAGCAGCCTTAATTCAGGGAAGAACTTGGTAGTAAACCAAGCATGCCGGAAAACAACGTTTAAGTACCTATTAGCAAGTCTGTGCTGCTCTCTCCCAGTTTGCTATCAGTCTGGAACACGTGGCTAAGAAAGGGCCTATAGGAGTGCAACAGGAAGTGCACGCAACTGAATGTGCCTTCTGTCCCTCTAGCTGCAGTGCTCGCGTGTACTGCGTGGATTGCACAGATCAGGAAAATCAAGGACAAGTCCCTTTGGAATCTAAAGTCATGCAGGTGATGGTCCTCTGGATTGACAAAATGTTTGCCATTACACCCTCTTCTGAGATGATTTGCTGAAGTGTTGACAATTTGTATTTATTTATTTTGAACAGGCAGAGGACAGCACAGACGAAGTATCAGCAGCAACATCTGCCTCTTTCAGTCTCCCCAACACAGATGAAGTAGCAGGGGCAACTCTGCTATACTCGGTCTCTCCAAAAGCTGATGGAGCAGCAGTGGCAACTTCAGCCCTGATCAATCACTTCAACATGGGTGGAGTAGCAGGGGCAACTTCTGCCCTGCTTGATCTCTCTCCACAGATGAACTAGAAGTGGAAGTTTATGCCTCATTCAATGACACCTACATGGATGGAGCAGCAGCGGCATCTTCTGCACAAACCAATCTCTCCAATAGAGATGGAGGAGTAGCAGCAACTTCTGCCCTGCTTGATCTCTCTCACACAGATGAACTAGAAGTGGAAGTTTATGCCTCATTCGATGACACCTACATGGATGGAGCAGCAGCGGCATCTTCTGCACAAACCAATCTCTCCAACACAGATGGAGGAGTAGCAGCAACTTCTGCCCTGCTTGATCTCTCCAACACAGATGGAACAGCAACAACAATTACTGTCCTACTCCATCTTTCCAACACGGAGTAATAGGGGCAACTTTTGCCACACGCGATCTCTCCAACACAGATGGAGTAGCAAGGACAACTTCTGCCCTGCTCAGTCACTCCAACACAGATGGAGTAGCAGCAGCAGCAACTTCTACCCTGCTCAATCTCTCCAACACGGATGGAGAAGCAGTGGCAACTTCTGCACCGATCAACCTCTCAAACAGAGATGGAGTAGCAGGAGCAAATCCTGCCCTGCTCAATCTCTCCTACGCACATGGACTAGAAGCAGTACTGTGTGCCCCATTCAATGACTCTTACATAGGTGGAGTAGCAGCAGCAGTTTCTGCCCTGTTTCAGTCTCTGCAACACAGATGGAGAAGCAGTGGCAATTTCTGCCCCATTGGTCTGACCAAAACCTTTGAAAGTCACTCAAGCTCAGCAAATGATGCGCAGGGATTTGAGACAACTTGAGCAACGGTCTTCCTGGGTAGAAAACCCCTTCTGTGCCACACTTCTCTTTGTAGAACTGCGTAATCTTTGCTTCTCAATAAAGTTCCTCCATCTCACCACAACTGCTGTTGTGAATGTTTTCTTCTAAGGCTAAGCACTCTGAGCTAGTCCCATTATTCTGTAGTCTGTTTTTACAGAATTACAGTGATACAGAGTATTTGCTTAAAAGAAAAATGTGCATATGGAGCTTGGGAAGCACTGTTGCACATTATATAGATACCAATACCTTGATGTTTACTGTGATTTGTTGAAGAAAGTAACACAAAAACGATGTTATGTACTAATGGCAGTTGCACAATCACATTTTATACAACCACAAGCAAAAACTCTCTCACTCTCTCTCTCTGTTTTGCAGCAGAGAAGCACATGGTTCCCTCTGCAGCCTACAGCATAAGGCCTCAGCTTTGGACACACTCTCTCATTTTGATTTTGTTGGATTTAGTAAATTAACATTCCTCTTCAGATCATTGCCATTGCTCTGGGTTTTTTTTTAGACCCATCCACTAACTCCCTACCCTTCCCAACCTCCCCCACTGCTTTCCTTTCTCTCTCAAGGTGCCAGCCTGGGAGTGCCCTGCCTCATTAGTCAGGAGGCTGAGCTGGATTGGCCAAAGTGGTTAACACTTTTTTTTTTTTTCCTCCTTTGTCTGCTGGAGACGAGCTCTGCAGAGAAGGACCTGGGGATCCTGGTGGACAACACATTGGCCGTGAGCCAGCAGGGTGCCCTGGTAGCCAAGAAGGCCTGTAACCTCATTACTGCTGGCCTGAACTATTAATAAAGGGTAGTAATAAGAGGGGCAGATCAGACCTGGGAGTCTTCTAGAACTATCCCTAACCTGGGCCCCATGGAGGCATCACACTTCCCTGTGGGTAGGGTCAGGCTGACATATAGAGCCCTCCATTCCTCTCAGAAGAGAGTTGCCTATGCCAGCCACCCTTTTGTCTTTCCTGAGAATGGCCCTTTGTATTTTTCTGCAGGGACATTTCCCTTCCCTGGTGTAAATGTATGCATTTATTCTGTCAGCAGCTGGAAGATGCGCAGAAGACCAACCAGGTAAGAGCAGTCTTTAAACGCAAAACAGAAGAAGCAGAAGAAAAGGTCAGGTGGACACTGAAGTAGAGCAGCTCCCAAAGGCATCTGGCGCTTCTAGAATTTACCAGCTATGAGCTACCTGCCTGGAAGGCCATCCCTCGAGTTGCCTCTGTTTTCTTCCCTTTCTGCTGCCATTTGGCAAGTGGCAAATCCCAGCTCTGCACCCCAGTGAGCGTTGGGCAATTCTCCTCTACCACTTTTCTTCCCTTTGTGGTTCACTCAGAAACATGATTTAAGTATAGGAACTGATAAGCAAAAATAAAAATGCAGGCTTTAGTTTTTTACCTTTTGCTTCACACTCCTGCACCATTGTTTCTCTAGAGAACACTCAGACAGCTGCAACAACAGCTTGCTGAGGCTGTTGGAAAGCAGCACGTCACAGAAGCATCTCAGAAAATTTCTGCTGACTTAAGTGACTCACTGAAAAAAAAAAAAAATACATGCAAGAGGATTTGGACAAGGCTAATTCCAAGGCATGCAAATCTGTGAACACATCAATATGTTCATTTCCTCGAACTAGTGCAAGAGAATAAATAAGCTGAAAACAAATACAGGACAGCATTGTTTTTCCACTGCATACAGTGTGTGACCTTTCTGCACAGCTGGAGGTGGAACACCCAAAGTCACTGCTGCAAAAAAGGGCAAATGAGGAGCTGGGAGTGAAGGAGGGTGCTCTCAAGCAGTGCTTAGAGGCTGTGGTGGATTATAAAATATTAGCACAGAATCAAAAGGAGTGTGAAGAAAAAACGCAAGAGAAACTTGCCAATAGTTTCAGAAAGCAGTTGATTTCAGAAACATCTTTGAAGCTTTCTGAAGATTACTGCCATTACCTGGAGAACGACATCTTGATACTGAAAGAAGGTATACTGAAAACAAACTTAATGCCAAGGTATGCAATGCCTGTGAGCATGTTGGCATAGGTTAAGCTGTTCTTTTCCCCTAAATAGTGCAAGAGAATAAATAATCTGTAAACAAGTGCAGGACAGATTTTCCTGAAGATATGAAAAGTTACATCATCATTAATCAGACTACATCCAGACTACAGATGATTTGAGCACGCCTGCTGTTTTCCCTAAAAACAATTTCAGTTCAGGAGACGGGTATCATCTCCTGATGAAACCACTTGCACTGACTGCTGCTGGGACACAACCTCTTCTCTACCTTTTCTACTAGCTGTCTCCAGGGAGGTCTGTGGCGGAAGCTGGTATTGTTTAGGCTGGAGCAGACTCTGGAGTGACCTTATTCTTCTCTACAACAGAGGTTGTAGTGAGGTGGAGGCAGGCCTTTTTTTCCCAGGTAAATAGCAATAGAACAAGCCGTAACAGCTTTAAGATGCACCATGGGAGATTTAGGTTGTATATCAGGAAAAATTTCTTCTGAGAAAGAGTGATGAGGCATTGGAACATACTGCCCAGAGATGTAGTGGAGACACTGTCCCTGAAGGTGCTCAGGAAGTGTGTGGATGTAGCACCCTGGCGCATGGTTTAGCGGGCACGTGGGGGTTGAAGGTTGGACTAGATGGTCTTAGTGATCTTTTCCAATTCTAAAGATTCCATGATTCTAAGAGGGCACAGTCTGCTTGTTTATTATAATTACTTAATGAAACATGAGAGCATGTTGTGGGCTGTTGTTGGCTGTGCTCAAAAATCTCTGCTCTCTGCTATTTGTTTTGCTTAAGCTACTGTTAACAGTAAGAGGATCAGTTCCATGAACGAGGGTATTGCTAGTGTACTGCAAATGCCAAATGGTACTCAGAAAAGCTTCTGATCACAGCTAAAGTCTATTTAACAAATCAGATCAAGCTTATCCAACATCTCCTGGGTGAAAGGCCAGAACTTTCCTGCAATTAGTAGTTTTTAAAGTGCCTTTGCAGTACATTATATAAGACCACCTCTCTTCTATGCTGCGTGCACTGGTGTGCTACTTTGGCCTAAACATATCCTCTTTGTATTGGAAAGAAGTGAAAATGATCCCCAAACATTTTAAAATAATTAACTTCACATGCACACAGATAAATATGCAACACAAATACTTTTTTCAAAATCTACTACTAATTAATGCATTTTACTCTATTCACCTTAGTGGACTTCCTCTTGACCCTCTCTAAGAGCTCCCTGTCTTTCTCGTACTAGGGGCCCCAGATCTGGCCACAGTACTCCAGATGGGGCTTCAAAAGGTCAGAGTAGAGAGGGACAAATTAATTTTACTAATTAATTTAATCTTTTTACATTACTTACATTAATCTTATTAGAATCATAGAATCATAGAATCACCAAGGTTGGAAAAGACCTAAAAGATCATCCAGTCCAACCGTTCACCTATTCCCAATAGCTCCTACTAAACCATGTCCCTCAACACAACATCCAGTCTTTCCTTGAACACCCCCAGGGTCGGTGACTCCACCACCTCCCTGGGCAGTCCATTCCAGTGCCTGACCACCCTTTCTGAAAAGTAATACTTCCTCATGTCCAGCCTGAATCTCCCCTGCTGTAACTTAAGCTACTTGTTAAGCTATTTATCTTAAATGCAGTGAAAGACTGGCAACTCTGAAGTTCTTTTAACTCGGGTTGCAAGCAGATAATTCAATTATTTTTTTTTAAATCTTCTGATACCAAGATACTGGTTATCTTTGAAAAGGGAGTGGATTCCTATTAGTGGAGTAATAGAATATCCACTTTTTGCAAAGGTATAGAGTGAACTGGCTGAGACCACATTGCTCGATGTTTCCAACTATTTGAGTTGGGAGAATTGCTGCCTATTGCTTAAGAAATCTCGAACTCATGATGGTACGAGACAAATCAGTTAATGCTGTGACCTGCTGGGTAACTCACGACATTTCTCATGAAGATGTTGCAGACCCTCTATGCACACCTTTCTTTGAACAGTGCTGAAGGGCACACTCAGTTAAGTTTGCTTCCTATAAACCGCTCACAGTAAATAACCAATCAATGAGAATTTTGTCTGCAGATGATGAAATCTGAGCTGCCACTGTCTTTCCAGACTAATTTCATTCCAAAGCAGGCAGGCAGCTATTTGCAGCTGGTCTGCCTAAGCAGTATTTGCTACACCGTTTTTCAATCAAACGGCAAATCACCAGCTGCAAGCTTAAATGCTCTCTTTAATGAAACCGCGGTGGGAAAGAACGATGGGTACTTTGTGAATGTTTATTTATTTATTCGGTTCATTTTAATTGATTATCTCCTCCGACAACCTATACGCAGCCCAACTTGCTCCCTGAGTAGACCGCCATCAACTTTCAGGAAACGCACGCGGAAACCTGAGAGAGCGATCGGTTGCCCCCGGGGTTTCCCCGACTGCAGCACAGGGGCTCCCTTCCCGCCCAGCCGGGCGCAGAACAGTGACGTCATACGTCGGCGCCGGCGCCGCTGAAACGTCATTCAGGGGCGCCACGCGGGAGCGTCCGATCTGCCTCCCTTCCTCCGGCCATGTTCCCCTCGGCTCCCGCTTCGCCGCGGACTCCGGGCGGCTCGGCTCGCTGGGGCCTCGGCAGCGCCGCTCCGAGCCCCCTGTCCCGACCGGGCAGCAGGAAGAACCTGACCATGGTGGCGGCGACCGGCTCCCCCGGGCTCTTCTCCCCGGTGGCTCGGAGGAGCGGCTCCCTCTCTGCTCGGTGAGTTCAGCTGATGGGCGCCGAGCGGCATCGCAGAGTCTGGGCAGGGTGCTCGGTGCTGCAGTAGCAGTAGCCGGTTGTAGAGGCAATCAGCAGTCGGGCTGGCGATGGAGAAATCCTAGATAACGCCGCACGGCGAGTGAGGTGTTCCCTCCGGTTGCTCTTACAGTTGTGCTGAAGAGTTTAGATATCAGGACAGGTCCTATAGAATAGGATCTTGCCCTCTGCTGGAAACAGTGTTTAAATCAGCCTCTGCTTTCTATTTTATTTGTGTTGATTCCTTTCTTTTATACGTAATTCAGGCTACAGTAAGAGTTTTCTGCCTATTTATAGACATG